ATTTTCATGAACTAAACTGATGTATCAATTATTAAAATTAATTTAATCATGAGATTATCTCATTGTATGTATCATTTTGCAAAATTTTAGAAAATATGGGACATGCCAATTTTCAATTTTAAATTATTTCTATAACAGTTTCATATCACAAAGGGCTATGGGGTTTTATTCCTAAACTTCCGAATGAAAGTATTGGTATGAATCCTCCTCAAACGAATCATTTTAGTATTTTACTATTTATTGATTTTCTTAGGAGGTATATAATGCTTGCTTTGACTCCTGGTTTATTAAATATAAAATAAAGATTAGTCAAAAATTCAGAAATACCATATGAGATCGCTCATATGGGGAATCTAAAAAACAAAACAAAAACAAAAACAAACAAGCAAACAAAAACAAAGCATAAATACAGGACAGAAATAGACTCACAGACAGAGAATACAGACTTGTGGTTACCAGGGGGGTGGAGGGTGGGAAGGGATAGACTGGGATTTTAAAATTGTAGAATAGATAAACAAGATTACACTGTATAACACAGGGAAATATACACAAAATGTTATGATAACTCAGAGAAAAAAATGTGACAATGAGTGTGTATATGTCCATGAATGACTGAAAAATTGTACTGAACACTGGAATTTGACACAACATTGTAAAATGATTATAAATCAATAAAAAATGTTAAAAAAATTCAGAAATAGGGAAAAGTATCATTAGAGACATTTTCTACTCCAGGAAAAATTATACTACATGTATTCAAAACACAGTATTATTTTATGAACCTTATATATTTAATTTACTATGACAATAACTTCTGGTCATTAATAATGTCTAATATTCTTAAGGTATATCAAGGTAAGGATGGTTTGTCTATAAATATATTTCACAACCATTTAAGATATATTTTATTATTATAATATTTTAAAGAGTAGTATTATGTATTGGTAATTTGGAATGTATTTCTATTGTTGATTTAGAATATCTTTGACATCCTAGAAATGATGGGTCACTTAGAAAGTATCTTTTTTGAAGCTAATTACTAAGTATTGATATACATTATTTTCACTTTTCCTTAAACTGAGGTAAAAGTTCATAAGTGTGCATTTGAATTGGGGTAGTTAAGTCAAAAAAATGGATACTGAGAGTCCTTGTAATTCATAATGTGGTCTGGATGTCCTGTGTGCTGTCCGTCTGAAACAGGGGATATCACCAACTACCTTGAAACTCAGTTTCCTCATCTGTAAGGAAAAATAACACCTCATGAAGTTGCTGTAACAATTACGTGGAAGAATAAGACAATCTACATAAAATAGCTACTACATAGTAAGGAGTATATGTATGTTGTATGTATATATACAATTTATTTACCTTTGGTTTTAAATTATAAATGATGTATAAATTGTCTGTTGATGCCTGGCCAATAAATCACATTGCAAATTGAAAGATCTAGTCAAATAGATTCCTATTCTTTGGGACAAATCAATTTAGGCCTCCCTTTCTCTATATATTATATTACCTCTAAATGGTACCACATCAATATTATAATGAAATACTTTTAAATATAAAA